ATTCTAGACAGTTTATCAGCTAAAAAAAGTTAATTTTGGGGTAAGTTACTCTTTAAAAATAAATAAATGTTTTATTTTTATTTTCATGTTTGACTTCTTCTCTGTTCATCCCTGATATCTACATCCTGTTTCCTTTAATTTGATGCTGGAGTCGTTTCCGGCATGGTTTCCGGTTTCCGGATGTAAACAGAGAGGTCTGATGCGTTCACGGTACCAGAAAAGTAGGAAACCGGAGTTCTACCTTTCTGTTTACAGAACATCCAACAATCAAAAAGAAACATGATTAATCACGTGACTTATTCCAGTGCCTTTGACAACAAATAACTATCAATATATTTATAATTCATTTGAATTCAGATACAGTTATGATCTGGATTGATAGGTTGTTGTTTTATTTTATCAAAAAGAAAATTAAAACATAGTAATCTTACTTTCAAATATTGTAAAGTATTTACATTTTTACTTAACAGGACTTTGAAATCAAACTTGTGGTTTATTATTTCGTTTTTCTTCAACAGAATTTGAAAGATTCTGAATAACATTTTGTCCGTAAACGCATCATAAAGGCGGACCAATAGAACAACGTTTCCTGTGACGTAAAAAGAACCCGTTTTCTGATTGGCTCGTTTTTTTGTGTAGCTTTTTGAAAGTCTTTGTGAAGGAGGAAAAGTTTCTGTGGAAAAAGGTGAAGAAATCTTTTAAAAAGACAGTTTTCACAGGTTTAAATGATCAGTTGGGATTATTTATAAGCTGTCAGGTTAAATCCAGCTAACCGTGGAGGCGCGGGAGCAGATCTTAGCCCTGCTAAGTCACCAGTTAGCACGGTTAGCCCGTTAGCATGTCCTGTTCCGTTAAGATGCTGATGTTTTCAGGAAAAAGCTCCCGGTTCTTGAAGCTTATTTCACTCCTTGTCSTGCAGACATGGCTCCCAGGAAGAGGAAAACCAAACCGCGGAAGAACAACGCGAAGGCCGCGAAGCTGGAAGCCTTTCTGCAGGATTTTAACAGCGAAGGTCGGAGAAAAGTTTGATGATCAGTCGGTTAAAAACTGCAGGAAGATGAACCTGTTGGTGTTTCTGCTGTGCTGCCTGCTCCTGTTTGACCTGTCATAAATAAATGTAAGAGTGAACTAAAAGGCTCCCCCTGCTGCAGTGGAGACCCGGGTCCGACAGATGAGGGAGGACCTGAACCAGCTGCTGAACCACGTGGACAGCTCCTACAACCTGGCTTTATTCAAAATGCCCAAAGCTGTGAGACAGAACATCTGGCTGGACCTCCTCAGTGAGTCCACACCTGAACCCTGCAGGACCTTCAGGCTGTGTTTGAAACGAGCTGGATCATAAAGTTCTGCTTGGTTTTTCTGCAGAACCTGAGGAGCCGAAGACTCTGGAGCTGGACGACGTGAAGGTGAGCGGGTCTTAGGTCCTCCTGAGTCCTCCTCCTCAGTCTGAGTCCAACGTCCCGGTTCTGTTTGTGTGTCAGCAGAGACAAGAGGACGATGTCATCATGACGAGAGCCGGGGCTGAAGACCAGGTCCTGCAGAAGACCGTCAGCAAACGTGAGTCCAGCTGCTTCAGAACCGGGCTCCCCTAAACCAGGGGTCGACACGTTTTTATTTATTTTACCTGCCCGACATGAAAACTACCTGCCTGAAACAAAACTGTTCAAACTTTGATAAAAAAAAAAAAACATGTATTTGTACTATAAAATATTACCATGGTTACACACAGAGGTACATGATATATGACATCTGATTAAACAGATACAAACATTATAGACTGAGTCACTCAGTCAGTTGTTTTATCAAAAACATCTTTAAAAACCTTTTTAGACCAGTGTTTCCAGTGTTTCTCTAGAGTACTGGTCTTGGGGGCGGGGCTTATAAAAACAATGATCAACAGCAGCAGCTTTGTTTTAAATACAATTTACAGAACATGAAAGTCTGAAATTAGCATAAATAAAATGTTTTATAATGAATCTCACATCTAAAGATACATTTAAGATGTGYTGAACTGGAGTCTCCTGCAACTAAATGATAAATCTGATGTTATTTATACAAGTCAGAATATAATTAGACACATCTTAAAGAGGTATTTTACCTCGTCAGAATATATTAAGAGATGTCTATTTATAATAAATAAATAAATAAAATCTGTGTACAGCTTTAAAAAAGTAAATTCTACCCTGAATTAAAGAGTGAAGAAAAAACTCACATGTGTCGCTTATTTTAAAAAATTTACTTCAACAAATAAAC